GATCTCGCACTTACTAATCTTACACTCAACAGTGTGGGTCAAATAAATTGTACTACCCAACTTTTACTACAGCTACATATTTTTTAACATCTTACAACATTTTCTGATGTTCTTTTGGTCCTATTAGTCCACTTGGAAACAAACAACAACAAAAATGGACATAACACATACCGCTTTCATGAGGGCACTGAGGTATCTTGTTTGCCTGAAGCATCCACAAATAGTCAGCACCCCACTGAAGACAGACTTTGTGGTCTTTATATGGGCGTTCAAAAGGTGGAACTGCTTCTAAAAAAGTGTAATTCTTGGCAACTGCCTCCTGGTAGCTTTCATTCTGCTCAACATCGTAGCTGCTAACTGATTGGTGACTAATCCATGCATATAATATCACACTGTGCACTATTATTGAGTTTCTGATGATGTAATCATCTCTGTAAACCATGATGCTTGGAAATTTCAAACGTATTTGTCGGGTTTGACGAACATCAATATTCTTCTCATCCTTCCACCTTCTTCTGTATACTGGTACACCAGTCCTGAACTCTGAGGAAGCTACTGCTTCCAAATTAATTATACAAGGCTTAGAACATAAATATTGAACATAAACCTCAGAACTGTTAAGGACTTTCTTATCCAAAACATTTAAATGAATGAAGTCCACAGAATCCATCTTTTTTCCAAACTGCGGTGTAACTGCTGTTATCCGTACTGTCTCCTTTCCAAAAGATGGCACAAAATTCTGTAAATAAAGAAACACAATAAAACAATTATGTTAACCAGAGAACCAAATTTACACAATTACTAATATACTTCAACCAATAGCAGATGGTTTATAGACAGTACTCGGACTCCAAACCACAGGATTCTTTCACACACCAAGTAGCTACGGATTACTGAAAATATACCACCAAGATTTTAATGGCAACAGTTCCCTTACCACTGACTTCTCAAAGCCACATATGCTTCTATAAAACAGTACTTAGAGGGTGTATCCTGCAAGTAGAATCTGGTCCACTAAGATACTGACTTACACGTCATGCTATTTACACATGTTCCTAGGATCAAGCTAAAAGAATATCTACAAAAAGGTGCTGGCATTTATTCATCGTATCACTGTTCATTTGCACTGCTGCAGCCTGATATTTTTATCTTCCTAAGAAGTTAGATCATTTTGTTTCCTGCATGAAATGTATCTGAAGAGCAGGAATGATCACCAAGGCAGACCACTGCTGTTTCCTGAAAATCAATTCATATTCATAAAGCACTTCATAACTTACTACTCAAATGTTCCTAAGTGAAAGATGGACTTGTAAATCTGAGCAACAAGTCTGGCAGACAGGACTTAGTTTCTGCTCCCTATAGCTATGTATAATATATTCTTCATGAGTTCTTGGACATGCACAAGTATTATCCTCCATGCTGAAGTTCTTGTCTCTGAAGCTTCTGACTGCTTTTTTTCTTTCTGCTCAGCAGCCAGCAACTGGCTTGATGTGCTGCCAGGGATACTGAGGATTACTGAGCCTGGGGAGCCACCACCATCACTGTGCTTCTGCCAGATTCCCTGATCTGCATAAAACGTTCCAAACTGTCACTCTGGACTACCAGGGAAGCTGGTCGTTAAGGTTATTCAAAATGAGAAGCTCTATTTTCAGTGACTTTTAATTTTGTGAAGCTTAAATAGAGTGAACTGAAATAGCTTGGATAGCTACTTCACGCTGATGACTTTTTCACTGCAATTCTCAAAATATTTAAAAACTTGAACCAAGTACTTTGTACATTTCTATATACCAGATGTATGTGCTGTTAACCTGAAGGAAAAGACCTCACTCCTGTGCCAAGATGGGGATCAGTAAATAAAATGAATAGTTCTCTTTTTTATATCTTAAGAATACATTAACAGTCCTTGAAAGCTACTCTGAGAACAAATATTTGCCCGCTCAACTGAAAAAGCTGTAACTATCAGGAAAAGCTTACCTGTACTCCCCTCCTCGTTCCTATTTTAGATTTAACTGTGTGACCAAACTTTTACCCTTTATTTAAAGCAGAAAGAAAAGCGAGGGAATTTTTGAATGAAGAAGGTATTGCTGCTAGCAGCTGGTAACTCCAGATAACCAGATTTATTCACAGGCTATAGATCTTTCTGTACTTGTTACTCAAACTGCTTTCTACAAGAACAGCCAACAGTTCCTTACTTCCTTGTATCCAGCATGAGAGGCAGGAAACCAAATGTTCAGTGATGCTGCACAAACACATGGAAACCCCAAGATACTTACACAAGGTATTTATTTTGGACAAATAAAAATGCAAACCACATCACCATGCCAGGATCTAGGCTTTTTACAACAGGCTGTGTCTTCACAGCAACAGCCTTCCTCTCCCTCTGTCTTGTTTCCCATTCTATAAAATGGATAAAATTATATTGAAACTAAATCACCATTTCAATCATTAGTGGCAAAGGACAGTAGAAATACCCATGAATCTAACAAATCTATCTGCAGGCAGTGCTTAAATTATGTGTATTAAGAAGGATTTACTGAAGGGGATAAAAGAGAATGACCAGTAGGAGGCTGGTGTCTATTGGAAAACTGACCACCGCATCCTGCAATAACATACGTGCAGAAATACTGATACAAAAGCTGACAAAAACTTTATTACTAATTCTAATATCTTTTAAATATACTATTATATGTTTCCTTATTTGGTTCTAGTTACCTCTACATAGCACACGCAATGGCATCCACAAATTATGCTACAAGTCCTCTACTTGATCAACACCACTCATATTTATCAAACAATTTTTGGACCTTGCAAGAAACAGTACTGGAAAACAGCTTAATCTGTATGATATATCAGAATCTTCCCTGTGATGTGGCCGCCAGATTATAGAAGTAAGACTGTATGTTTATCACAGTATGCTGAAGTACACCAGGTAGACAGTACGAAGCACCACATTACTGCTGCTTTTCATATATATCTATTTACAGCCCACATGCACACAGCCAGCCCTCACTTCGCAAGGGTTTATCCAACACAGAGACACAGGATTTGGCTCCCAGCAGGCACTGCCTGGGTCTGGCAGTTTTCATTAGCAAAGACACAGCAGTATGTGAACACAGCCATCTGGCTTCCAACAGAAGGCCAATTCTGGCAGAAACAATGCTACTTTTTGTGGTGCGTATGTGCCAAGGCAGCAAGCACTGCAACCCACAGCCAGCTCTTGCAGAATAAGCTCCATGATGCTCCTAGAGCACCAAGACACCTAGAGCACCATGACATAGTGTGACCGCTGATGTGCAGATCAACCTCAGCTGTGTATCTTCCCTCATCACCTGTTCTGCAAAACAGCTCCCACAGGTTTACTCCTGAACATTTTCTCATTGGTGTCTGATATACTGACTGAGACATGTTTGGGTCTGCTGCTGCATCACATCTGCTGAACTCCTCAGTATGCTCATCTAGGCTGGGGGGCAGCACAAAGCCATCCCCCACTGATGCAGCTATGACAGAGACCAGGGACAGTGCAGTCTCCCAAATCAAAGCCCAGTGTTTGTTCCCACCTGGCTGTCTCCCTGCATTGCTTTCCAGGCATTGTACGGTGCATCTGCTAAGTGAGTACCTCTGCTCTGTAGTAGGTCCCAGGTCTTTCCTCAGCATTACCTCAGACAGTGTGGAGTATATTGTGCATAATCTCTGCCTACAGGGAGCTGAGATGAAAGGATTACAAAACGAGTGCGATTATGAGATTTAAATACAACATTTTCCCTGTGCAGTAAACAGGACAGCTACAGCAGATCAAAAATGTACTGTAGGACAGGCAGAGTTCAATGAGGAAGGCACAGAGGCTTCACTGTGTGGGGCACCTTAATCACAAAGGCTGTACAGGTTCTGTTCTTGGATCTTCTCCTGAAACCCATTGAACCTGAGGGCACTAGCCCATGCCATCACACTAGATGTCAGGGAGGAATCACAGCCATTAGTAGGAAAGTGAATATTTCAGTGGTGAAATACTATAGAAAAGGCTCGGAATCGTGCTTTGCTTAGCTGGAATAAGATCTCAGCAGGAACAGGGCTCAACCCTGCAGAAATCCCCTGCATGATCGTATGGGACCGGGCCTGTTTGCTCAGAGCCTGGGGACAGCCACAGCCCTGTACCTGGCTGGAATCGCCACGTCATGCTGATTTTTAAGCTGTGCGGAAAGGAGACACACCAGAGCAAGCGCCGCTCTGCTCCCCGTCAGCATCAGCGTCCCATACAAGTACGGGGACTCTAACTGGAGTCTGTGTTCAGCACAGTAGAAGAGGAACAAACTGCACTTAGCAGATGCCTTTAGAAGGCAGTGTTTCCCTTCAGGCGTTATAGTGGCCACACAGGCATCTGACAGCGGAACCCCTATTCCCTGCAGCCCAAGAAGCCCATCTCAGTGCCACCTGCCACACGGAGCGCGTTACCGGCCCGGCCCGGCCCGCCCCGAGGGGCTGCATTCCCCGATCGCCGCGCACACGCTTCTCCGTGCCCGGGGTTTGGGCCGCGGCCGCCCGACGACCTCCCGGCTGGCCGGGCCGCCAGAGCTCGGGGAGCCGCGGCAGGTGCGGGGTCCGCCACTCACCATCAGGAAGAGGAGGAGGAGAGGAGGGACGCTGCGGGGCTCGGCCGGGGGCCGCATGCTGCCGCGGCGGCTCAGGAGGCGGCGACGCCCCGCGGCGTGGCGCTGCCCGCTGCTGCCCGGCCCGGCCGGCCCCACCGACACGGATGCGGCAGATCCGGCTTCCTGGAGGAGGGGCTCGCGCAGCGCAGCGCCGCGCCCCGAGCGGCCGCCGCAGGTGCGGAGAAGAGGGCGCGGCTGGGTCGGGGCGGCATCCGGCCGCGGAGGGGCCGAGCAGCTTCAGAGCGGACGGAGCGCCGGTGCTCGGCAGGAAGTGTCCGTCCCGGCGCCGCCGTTGCGCCTGCGGAGCTCGGCGGCGCCACGCTGCCCTCCCCGTTCCGTCTCGCCCGGAAGCGGCGACCGCGGAGCTTCCGTCCCGGACGCGGGGCGTCCCTCAGCCGCCATGGCCGGGCTGTCGCGTACGCTCGGCATCTTCGGCTGCTTCGTGGCCGTGGTGGGGGCCGCCTTCTACCCCATCTACTTCCGGCCGCTGCTGCTGCCCGAGGAGTACAGTGAGTGCCCGGGGCGGGGGAGCGGGCAGGGCAGCGGGCAGGGCCGCTGTAAAAACGACGCGAAACTCGGAAATGTTTGGTCTCAAGGTGACCCTGCGTCGTTGGCTGGGACGGGGCCGTGCGCAACTCACGCCCCCGTCGTTCTGTGAAGCGTCGTACCGGGAAGACCCGGGATGCCCCGGTAGCGGCGTGGCGCGGAATCGTGCCTCCGTGCCTCCGTGCCCCCGTGTCCCTGTGCCTGCCGAGCCGGGCGGCGGAGCGTTTGGGTGTGACGCATCTCAGCGTAAGAGCAGACGGGCCGCTGCCGCAAAGGTGCACGCGGTTACTCTGAAGAGATTTCTAGGAAGAAAAACAAAATGGCAACGAAGTTATTGATCGCCTCAGAGGGACTTTAGCCTCGCCTCGATGGAGGAGTAAAATTTAACTTGCAGGCATCCAAAATAATGGAAGGAAGCAACGTCTGTGAAGGTGGAAACTGCCCCGAGCACGATTTTGGTACACACGCAGCGGGCACTTAGCAAACACACATGCTATGCAATGCTTGATTCCAGGCTTCGTTTATCACATGTGCCTCCAGCTCTCCTTGGTCCACACCTTTGTTAATTTCCTGTGTGCTTTTCTTGGTGCTTATCAGCTGTATGAGAGCTGCACAAGTGTTCACCTGACTCTTAGATTCCATGGTTGTGGTACTTCACTGGGAATATTAATTTTAACCTTTAGGGTAGGGAGAATTTAATTTTTGGGGTAAGCTGTATAACAACAGAACTGCTGTAGAAGCTCTTGCCCCTCATTGACTTGAGCTGTGGTGAAACGCTCATTATTTCTGTGTATTAGGAAGCTGGGTCTGAAGTCCTAGTTTTTAAGGGGAAATAGCTTCAAACTAAAAGAAGGGAGACTTAGATTGGGTGTGAGGAAGTAGTTTTTTACAATAAGGGTAGTGAAGCACTGGAACAGTTGCCCAGAAAAGAGGTGGTTGTTCTGCTCCTGGAGGCACTCAGGGTCAGGCTGGATGGGGCTCAGAGCAACCTGATCCAGCTGCAGGCATCCCTCTTCATTGCAGGGAGATCTGGACTAGATGGCCTTTAAGGGTCTCTTCCAATTCAGACGATTCTATGATTCTAAGTCAGACATCTGGATCATCATCACTTAGTATTCTGCAATAGGGTTTTACTTCTCTGGAGTGATTCTTGACAATGTTTTTTAAAGGCTTAAAAAAATTCAGTGGGATGGTCAAGAGGCTGCTACAACCAAGTGCTTGGATGTTCTGCTTCAAAGTACTGTGGTAGTAAAGCATTTAATAGTAAGCAGGGGGAAAAATGGTGGTGGCAGCATTTATTAGGGTAAAATGATACAAATTTAACCATTTTTCTTCCTGAAAGTGGATGAATCTTCAAAAACATTTGTATATAATTATGCTGTAATTGATAGTTCGTTGTCTCATATAGAACAAACTCATATAGAACAAACCTGGAATAAGTCCACTGCATGGAAAATATGCCCCTAATATTTAGTTTCAAAAAATTTACAAGCAGTGGTTTTATAGATGCTGCCATGAAATCTCCCTGGAACAACAGTTTCCAGAACATGAAGATGGAGATCACCAATTCTGGAATGAATAAATCCTCTGAGTAGTTTTATGCTGAGCATGTGAGGATTATCTCCCTAAAGTAGTGCGCCTTCCTTAAGTTAAGGGATCACAACAGATGTTTTAGCATTGTTTGTAAAAAATAGTCATTACTTTAAGATGGTTATCTCATAGTTGGTTCTGCAAGGTTACAAACTAGCTCTTGGTTTCTCTGTGAAATGTGGATGTTACATTTGTGTTGTATACATGCATACTCATCAGGATTTTACTGTATGGGGTTCAGACCTCACTAGGTGAGGTCAAGATGTTTTCTTATTTTCTTTTTCTTAATATTGTTCTTTCTGTTCGTTTTTCAGAGAGAGAACAGTCAATAAACCGAGCTGGCATTGTTCAAGAGAATATCCAGCCTCCAGGTATACTTGATTCATGAGTATAACAGTACTGTACTGTTTTAAAGGTTTTCTTGAACACTTGAGTATTTCTATGGATTTAAGTAACGCAGTAAAGAATACATGTATTAAAAAAAAAAAAGTCTTACTACGAAAATATTTTCTCAGGCTAATTCTTAACTTACAATTGTGGACTTAATAAAATCTGTTTTAAATTGAACTATCCAACAAAGTTTTAGGGATTCTGTTATCTCTTAAATACTTTGCGCACAAGAAAATCACTTTTGCTTCAGTTCAGAGTAAACAAACCATGAGTGGTCTGAGCGCTAGCTGTAGAAAATAGTTTGCTGCACCTTTGTTTTATTGAATTTGTGAGGAATTTTGTCATTACCTTCCAGCCTCGTGGGAGGCAGAAATACGTGGCACTAAAGGAAATTTTGAATGCAGTGCTAATAGCTTTTTGATGCCTGCTGTTACAAGTAGAAGGAATAGGAAAGTGTGAGGGGAATAAAATCGTACTGCTCACTTATATACAATTATACCATAATTGATAATTCATTGTCTCATATAGCAAAACTGGCAAGGTTGAAATTTCTCACTTAGAATTAAGGAATGCATGTCTTGATGAAACAGTTTGTATTTGAATATGTTAAAGGGTAACTTAACTCTTATTTTTAGAAGAGCCTGACAGCAATAGCAGGAGAATATCCAATAGCATTAGTGCCACATAGTAAGCTATGCATATCAGTGAAATCATCAACGCAGGACTGACTTTCCAAGAAAGCAGTTAAATTTTGAAGAGGAGCAGGCAAGTTATACTGACATAAAAGTCTTGCAAACCTGCCTTTTATTAAACAGTAAAGAAGATTGGACAGTTTCATTTATCCAAGATGCAGGTACTTGATGACCAGTTCTCCTTAGCATAAGTTTTTCATGTAAATTTAGCTGTTGATGAAAATTCATGAGATCCAGTAGTTGAATGTGAAATCTAGACAAACTGAAGTGTAAAATAAGATGGGATTCTACATGATTTTTTTCCCAACAATACTGTAATACCTTACATGCTGGTGTGAGGGACTTTTCTGCTATCTGAAGCTTAAGATGAAGATGAGGTTGAATTCCTAAACACTTCTCAAGTTTAAGTAGATTTTTGAGCTCAGTGCAGAAAATGTTATTGAGATTCATTCATATTTTGTTTTTCCACGAGGCTGCAATAGCAGACAAGATTGTTTTGTTCCCAAAACTGTAGTTATGAACTGCTGGTATTTTTGTATTTGTTTTGTAGGGTTAAAAGTATGGTCTGATCCATTTGGAAGAAAGTAACGTTGTCAGCCTGGTGCACTTCAAGGCAGAACTGAAGATGAACTTCTTCAATTATTTCTTCTTAAATTGAAGTATGCCTTTGGGCGTCACTTGAGAAGAATTCTGATTATGCTGTGTGGGCACATGAGGAGCAACAAATGCTACTGGTTGGAAAGCCAAGAGGAAAAAACATCCCAGTTTTGGCAGGGTGCTGTGGTACAATGGACAGACTGCTAGGGAGGTGACTGTTTCTCGTGTTTAGAAGTAAAATATTTACTTCCTTGAGAAAAAGGAAGAACAATTATTTTTGTGGTTAACCTGTAAACATTTGGAGAACAAATTATGAATAGAATAAATTATGCAGACCACTGCAGTTTCCTCCCTAGTTTGAAAATTACTTTCTGTGGTGTAATTTTGAAAACATGATAGAAGTTTATACTGAGAAAGAGCAGTGAAGATTTGCTCTCTCTTGGGCAGAATATAACATGGTAAGTGAGAATTTGTGCATTAAAATTTCTTCCTTTCAAACCAATGTGTATTCTACTTTATTTGTTATATATTTTGTGAGCAGGTGTGATGGTTCAACTTGACTGGCTGCCAAGTGCTCACCTAGCCAATCTCTTGTTCCCGTTCCTCAGCAGGATGAGGGAGAAGAGAAGGTGTAGAAGCTCATGGATTTTGATAGCAACAGGAAGATTGTTTACTGTCTACTACTGTGGGCAAAACAGACATGTCTTTCATGGGTTGCCGTGTGGACATTGACTCTGGCGAGGTCCTCTCCACACACTGCAGGGAAATACCTTCTCCGGTGCCTGCAGCACCTCCTTGTTATCTTTTTTTCTGCATTTTTACTCCTATTCCTCTTTTTTTTTCTCCTAATTCTGCCTGTCTTGTCTTGTTGTTTCTTAAATATATTTTCACAAAGGTGCAGCCCATTTGGCTGGTGGGCTGATCTGTGTCCTCTGTGGGTGCATCAGAGACCAGCTGGGACTGTGTGTGTCATGATGTTGCAGCCTACCTCCCTCCCACAGAAACCTTGACAAGTATACCCAGTAAAGTAGGTTCAGACTGTTGGGGTAGAAAAGCAGGTATTTCAAAAGGTATTTTAAAAGCACCTTTATGATGAGTGTAATGATCATGAGAACAGCCTAGTAAAGGATTGCTCCTATTTAAAATCCTTACCCTAATTTGCCTTAATTTAATTGGTTAATTAGTGTTCTGAATAAATGGTATTTTCAGGGGAAAGAAATGATCTGTAACCTGCAGTTATGGGCTTTTTCCCAGGTGATATTATTGAATACAGGTGTAGCACATGCATTTAGATTGTATATGCTACCTTCTTTTCTACGTTATTCTTAGTATTTAATTGTGAGACAAACATTTTAAAGACTATTGCAAGAATGCATGTGCAGTGAGCATTACTTATTAAGTGAACAGGTGTTAGTCTTCTGCGTTGTTTTTTTCAGACATCATCTGGCTTTCTTAAGGACAGATAAAAGATTCATCTTCTTGGTATCCCTTTTCTGCCTTTTGTTGTTGATTCCCTCCCACACAGACACGTACTTCCTCTTCTGTATTTTTCTCATCTTTAAAATCTTATATTAATTAATGTCTTTTTCAAATCTTTGATATTTCTTTCTGGTAAGAAAATAATTATTATTCATGCAAATCAATACAAAATAAAACTCTTAAAGCAACAGGGAAGATACTGCAGTAATTCTCAGTTTACACTGAAATTTTCTGTTGTCTCTCTGCCATTTGCCAGTTGCCTGAAGATTTGCTCTGGACTCATTGTAATCCTGCAGTTGGCTTCCTGGGCATAGTGACAGTGCTTTGCTGTACTCCTGGGCACTGGACACATCTCCAGTTGCTTAGTTGCAGGGGAGGTTGGATAGATAGCCAGTTGTGTTCTCCAGAGCATTTTCCTTAGCTTGCTCTGAAGTTAAAAGGTTTCTGCTTTTGTGGACTGCAACTATCACTCATTTTCAACACAAGCATACGAAGCAGTTTGGTATGTTTACAATAATATGAATTCTGTATTACTTCTGGCACTTGGAAAATTTCAGTATGCCTAATCTGCCAGGGGTACCAATCTGATGCTTTTGTTCTATCTTTTCTGATTATTGTGATAAAATGTTTTCTAAGAATGTTTTTGAAAGTGTTGTTCTTTAATATGAACTCTAACATTTTACTTGTTTTAGCTGGAATATAAACAAAAAATTTGACTTTATCCTCTGATAGAGTCTGATAGACATTCCAAAAAGTGTGCTTTGACAATCTGACAGAAGAAATTGCTTGTACTAAGTTTGGGTCTGCTATTTTAAGCTGATAAATTTTGACATTATTAGAACTTGTAGTATGGAGAGGGAGTTGGATGTTTTGATCTAAACCTAGACATGACTCTGAAATGTTGTAGATTGTTAATGATACAATGAAACTCTCAAACACAAACACGATAGGATGGGTGAATACAGCGAAATATATGGCAAAAAAGAAAATAGAGATTTTACAGTATGTGCTGAAGACTGCACTTGAATTGTTGAGATTGTTTTCATTGGGAAGGTGATAAGGGTTTTTTTTTTTTTTTTCCCTTTGATACTTAAACACATTGAGTAGCGTTAACTGATCTTCAAGTATTACTGCGTAGATGGTCCTCTTTAAAAAAAGAAAAAAACAAGTCCAGAAAAAGAAGCAGTTGTTATTTTTTGTGGTTTTCTACACCAGAATAAATCATGCGTTTTCCCTTCTTGCAGTCTAATAATAATTAACTACTTATTTTCTCAGAACTGTGTACACTCCTACTGACCTTCTCCACGTTAATGTGCAGACACAGCAGTAAATGGAAAGCTGCATTGACTTTTTCTGTGATGCCACACAACCCAAATAGTATGTTTGTTAGTGGAAGGAAATTATTTTCTAGCTTCTCAGAAAGTGCTGCAAACGATACAGTTTTTATGTGGACAATGTATGACTGGAGGGCAAAAACCAAAGTGCAGGGTAAAGCATATGATTATGAAAAACTGGACTGGGAACTAGATATTTTGGTCCTGAGTATTTCAATGTTTTAAAGAATCTTTTTCAAAAAGAAACAAGTGAAATTTCTTGGGGCTTCATATGTTAAAATATGCTCTGGGTACAGAATTTTGGCTGTTTGGAATCAAAAAGGAAACTCACCTTCTCTTCACGGTACTGATGTTTATTTCAAAATCTCCAAATTTGAGCATGAACTTTCACATGTAAGTTGAAGTACAGCCCAATGTGAATATTACTACTGTTGCAGGAAAAAAAAAAATTAGGAAAATGGACAGGTCTTACTGTGGGCTCAGGTGTCTGTTCTAAGCATACACCTGACCATTTTGCATGTTCTTTGACTTGCCACTTTTGATGTCTTCTGTAACAGTGTGTCCTACCTTCTGTCCTTTGCACAACAAAAAAAAAGTAGCTAGAAGTCTTGCAATATAGCTGAAAGTATTGAGCAGGTGACACTGAGTACAACTTAAAAGAAGTGAGGGAGAGCTGGAATGTTCTGTAGGAATACCTTTGAGGTAGGATGGCAGGCATGAATGGGAGACAGGGCATTCTGATCAACGGAATGAACAGGAGCATGAGGGCCATACATCCATGGGAAACCATCCTTTCTTAGCTCCACTGCTCACAAAATAGGACACCCCTTTCTCTCTTCTCTGTGTACTCCCCAGCAATTCAGAGGTAAATGTTTCTGAAGAAAGTTCCTAGTAAAGACAGTGAGGTTATCATGAGAAGAGAGCATATAAGGAGATCGAATATAAGTATCCTTCACTCCTGCCTACCTTGGGAGGTCAGAAATCATAGAACAATTCAGGCTGAGAGAGACTTCGTGCTGAAAAGTATCTTTCAGGTCACAGGGATAGGTGCCTCCTTCTCTGTCTGCTTTTTCCTGTAACTGTACAGTACAGTATCAAAAATACCAATCAGGGTAGAGGAGGAAGGTACTCCCATTGCTTCAGCAAAAAATCGTGTAGGAGGAGTCCTTCTCAGCCACCCATTCACTCCCAGAACTGGATGGCTCTGGAAAAGTTTAGGATTGTATCAATTCTTTCAGCTTGGAAGAAGAGAAACCACTGTGGATACTAACCATTTGCTCCATGGCTGCTCCTGTGACTTTTGGGGTGTCAGTGATTGTAGCAGACCACCTCTAGATCCAGATTTCCTCCCCATCTACTGATAAGAGGGACGTTCATACAAGAGCTCTAACTTGTGCCATAACTGACTGCACCATTAGGAGACTTCTGAAGTCTGGAAAGCAGGTAATCTTAGTAACAGAATCTTCATTATCTGCATGTAGCTTCCCCTGAAAAAAGCTCTCCATTCCACTGGTCCTTCTTATAGTTGTCCTGTGAGTGGCTGGCATAGGCTTGCAAGATGTTCCAACAAAGAATTTCTCATGGCTCAGTCCAAAATCCCATGTCCCACATTAAGAACTTGTGATGTATTATGTTCCCCTGCATTTTCTGTGTGCTTTTAATATGGTTTATGTGATTTTATGGCCTTTACTGCCTTCTGCCTTCCTACCCCTCTCTGCCTCTGGGTCAAAGCAATGATGCCAGCAGAACCATTAGCTGAAGGATCCTCTAAGCAGCTTGGAGGGTGATCCAAGGAATGTATTCCCATGCATTAAGTCTGCCATTTCTACTAGCCTGTTGCAGACTTCCTCATTTTTTTTTTAGCTGACAAGCCTTTGGTTCAGAGCAAAAACTCTTGTTACTATTCTGTATCACACCTAGTACAGTTAGTTTTTGTCCCATAGTTATCACTCTAGCCTTTTAAAGTCTTTTTTACCTCTCAAATCATTTAATCAGAACACTCCATTAGCACACTGTTATTTTTTGTGCCAAACAGCTACGTTTGTCCTGAGACAGGTCTTTAAGAAATACCACCATTAAAATTTCTCCAGGCCAATGACTTCCCTTCTGTCTTATCTGCTTTAGCTAGTTCCATGCTTGGTTTACGAATCTTGTAACTAATTGCTTTCCATGTTGCATCATTTAAATGCTTTGCTAATGTCCAGACAGAATATACTCCCTGAATTTTTGTCATGCCAACAAGTTTATGAAGTAGCAAGACATGCTGACATGTTGACTTTTAGAATTTTGATTTGCATCCCCATTTTTCAGAGTTTACCATGATCTTGTATGATCTTGTATGTTTTTTTTGTTTTGTTTTGTTTTGTTTTTTTTCTTTTTTTCTTAAAATACTAACAGCTAGGTAGAAATTCTCCAAAAGAAGTCACAGATGTACTTGGACATTGCCCTATTTTCTTGTCTGGATGTACCGTAATGCACATGAAATGAAATACTGAAACTGTTAGAACTAGCTAAACATTGTGAGCATGAACTGTCTTACCAGGCTGAGATGTTTGCTGCTATTGGCTGTTTTCAAAAACTATTTGCAACTTCTGAGTTTTGTATCCAGTATCCACGCTGTTGATTATTGGTCTAACAGAAAGTTGCTGTAAATGTAGTTCAAGAACACAAGGCTGGTTTTATTTA